TTAGTTGACAAATTTTGAAGTTTAAATGACTGGTACTCTTACAAAGTCAAATCGTGCTCAAACATGTTTTCCTTAAACTCTAATATCTTCTAAAAACTACTTCGAAGGTACTATGATTCTATGAATTTGCATAGACACATTGTGAACAAAATTCAAGGATTACCAAAGTGGCCCCACTTGTGTCACCTTTTTTTTCGGGCACGAGGGGATATCTTTCTTCTTGTTCTATAATTTTGTTTGAACTTTAAACACAACCCATTACATTATTTTGTTCCCTACAACAAAAGATACTAAAGAAATCTAAAATACTCAATTTGTTGCCTGGAGAAGAAAGGTGAAAAGGCACCAAAACCATGGTTAAACTGAAAAGGTAGAAACTAGAAAGGCATCACTATATTTTTAACATAAATTATAGGTTGTAGTTCTTAACATCATATTTAAAGCTATGGTACTATTTCAACTTTCTGATTAAACAAAGTAGGCAAGGCTGACTATGGTACTATTTAAAGCCGTATCTTAACATCCTACTAGCACTTGCACTTGTGTCATCGTTCATTATTATTAGTTCCTTCTTTTCCCATTCTTTTTTTCTTACTACTTTCATTTCATACCCATCAAAATTTCAGCTCCTGGTAATTGTTCTCTATTCTTCTATATAGAATGAACCTACTAGTCTTGGTGCATACCTTTTAAACCGTTTGATCTTCTGTCTGAACTTCGTAAATTAAACTTATCTGTCAGACATTCTGCTATGGGTTCCACTCGGATGTGTCATTTCTTTCTGCTATTGTTCATACTTAATACTGCTTTTATTGCAAATGTGTCTATGGCCAATAATGCAACAGAATCCTCGTGGCTTCTCAGAATTAAATCAGAATTGATTGATCCATTAGGAGCTCTTAGCAACTGGTCTCCAACAACTCATATCTGCAACTGGAATGGAATAACGTGTGCAGTTGATCAGGAACATATTATAGGCCTGAATCTGTCTGGTTCAGGAATATCAGGTTCCATTTCAGTTGAGTTCAGTCACTTCACTTCTCTTCAAATACTTGATTTGTCTTCAAATTCTCTTGCTGGCTCCATCCCTTCAGAGCTCGGCCAGCTTCAAAATCTAAGAATATTGCAACTATACTCAAATGATCTCTCTGGTAACATTCCTGCAGAGATAGGTAACTTGAAGAAGTTGCAAGTTCTTAGACTAGGAGACAACATGTTGACAGGTGAAATTCCACCTAGTATTGCCAATATGAGTGAATTGACAATGTTGGCTCTAGGCTATTGCAACTTAAATGGAAGCATACCCTTTGGGATTGGTAAATTGAAGCATCTAATATCTTTTGATTTACAGATGAACAGTTTTAGTGGACCCATACTTGAAGAGATTCAAGGCTGTGAAGAGCTCCAAAACTTCGCAGCATCCAACAACATGCTTGAAGGAGACATACCTTCCTCTGTGGGGTCTCTCAAATCTTTGAAGATTCTGAATCTGGCCAACAACAGTTTATCTGGATCAATTCCTACAGCTTTTAGTCACCTTTCTAACTTGACATACCTGAATTTGCAAGGAAACAAACTACATGGAGAAATTCCTTCTGTGCTTAACAGTCTGATTCAGCTGCAGAAGCTAGACTTGTCCAAAAACAACCTTTCTGGATCAATACCTATCCTTAATGCAAAATTACATAGTCTTGAAACTCTGGTTCTGTCTGATAATGCTCTGACAGGTAGCATTCCAAGTAACTTCTGCCTCAGAGGTTCAAAGCTTCAGCAACTTTTCTTGGCTAGAAACATGCTCTCTGGCAAGTTTCCGTTGGAGTTACTCAACTGCTCCTCAATCCAACAGTTGGACCTTTCTGATAACAGCTTTGAAGGAGAACTTCCTTCCAGCCTGGACAAACTGCAGAACCTCACAGATCTTGTGCTCAACAACAACAGCTTCGTTGGTTCTCTACCTCCTGAAATTGGGAACATTAGTAGCTTGGAAGGCCTTTTCCTATTTGGTAACTTCTTCACAGGTAAAATTCCAATGGAGATTGGAAGGCTGCAGAGCTTGAGCACCATTTACCTCTATGACAACCAGATGTCAGGACTCATACCAAGAGAGTTAACAAACTGCACAAGCTTAACAGAAATCGACTTCTTCGGAAATCACTTTACAGGGCCCATTCCAGAGACCATAGGTAAGCTCAAGGACTTGGTTGTTCTTCATCTTAGGCAGAATGACTTGTCTGGCCCAATCCCACCAAGCATGGGGTACTGTAAAAGTCTTCAGATACTAGCCTTAGCAGATAACAGGTTGTCTGGTTCCATTCCACCCACATTCAGTTACCTTTCAGAACTCACCAAAATTACCCTTTACAACAATTCCTTTGAAGGACTTCTCCCTCATTCGCTCTTCTCTCTCAAAAGCCTCAAAATCATAAACTTTTCACGCAACAAGTTCAGTGGAAGTTTCTTCCCTCTCACTGGTTCAAATTCCCTGACCATTCTGGACTTGACCAACAACAGCTTCTCAGGTCCTATCCCTTCTACTCTAGCCAATTCTAGAAACCTCAGACGTCTTAGACTTGGACAAAATTATCTCACAGGAACCATTCCTTCTGAATTTGGCCACCTCACTGAGCTCAACTTTCTTGATTTATCATTCAACAACTTCACAGGAGATGTGACACCTCAACTCTCAAACTCCAAGAAAATGGAACACATCCTGATGAGTAACAACAAGTTCAGAGGCAAAATACCATCTTGGTTGGGAAGCTTACAAGAACTTGGCGAGCTAGATCTCTCATACAATAACTTCAGTGGAAGGTTACCTTCTGAGCTAGGTAACTGCTCAAACCTACTCAAGCTTTCTCTCCATCACAACAATCTCTCAGGTGAGATCCCACAAGAGATTGGAAAACTCACTTCCCTCAATGTCCTCAGTTTGCAAAGGAACAGCTTCTCTGGCCTCATTCCTCCAACAATTCAGCAATGCACAAAGCTCTATGAGCTGAGGCTCTCGGAGAACTTGCTAACAGGTGTAATACCAGTTGAGCTGGGAGGGCTAGCTGAGTTGCAAGTGATATTGGACTTGAGTAAAAACCTCTTCACTGGTGAGATTCCACCATCTTTAGGAAACCTCATGAAACTAGAAAGACTCAATCTTTCTTTCAACCAACTTGAAGGCAAAGTTCCTCCCTCACTTGGCAAACTCACAAGCCTGCACGTGCTGAATCTCTCAAACAACCATCTTGAGGGGGAGATTCCTTCAACATTTTCAGGATTCCCACTAAATTCATTCCTGAAAAACAAGGGCTTGTGTGGCCCACCATTAGGATCATGCTCAGAATCCACTTCACAGGGGAAAATGCAGCTATCAAACACACAAGTGGCAGCAATCATTGTGGCCATTGTGTTTACTTCCACTGTGATATGCTTAGTGATGTTGTATATCATGCTCAGAATCTGGTGCAACTGGAGAAAAGTGACCATTTCAAGTGCAGAAGGTGGCAATGTAGCTCACAAAACAAGGAATGGAGTGTATTGGAATATGAACTCCTTTGGGTTGATTCATTCACCAGATAAGCAGAATTCAGCAGCAACAACTTCCTTCTATAATCTCAAAATGGAAACCAAGGAAAATACAAATATGTAACATTATAACCTCTTTCATTAGTTTGGGTTCCAACTTCCAAGCTTTGAGGATCCCTGTGTTATCTCAACAGTCGTGACACATCCTCAAATACTCACACCAATTAATTTAATATAAATACTTTTTGATTCAAAAGCATTATGCCCAACCGCATCTTGTGGGAGCGGGAATTCTTCGGCAACGAGTATATATTATCATTCCCATAATAAATTTATATTTTTTATAACTTTTTTTCCTTCTATTACAACTATTTTATCTTATACTTTTTCTTTCCTTATCTGTCTTTATTGTACAAATTTCTATAAAACGAAATTATATAAGGAGCTTAATTTTCTTGCAGTGTACTAATTATAAATTATTCGTGAGATTTATGATGTACTAGGAATGGCAATATAATGTCAACCCATCTCAACATGTAAAACTATAGGTTAAATTGGATTGAATTTATTGACAGTAGACTGAAAAGTTCAATCCAACACAACCATAGATAGGTTACGGGACATGATGTGCTACATTTTAAAAAAATTATAAAAGAAAGTGATTTATGAATTTACCCAACAAATAAATAAAAAATAACCAATTAAATATAAGTATAATCATCATTAATTACTCCACCAAAACATCTAAATATTTGAAACATTAAATACATTTACCATTACCAATAACCTCAAAAGGTCAAAAAAAATTATATAAAAGATATTTTTTAATCAAAAAGATTACAAAAAAACGTTAGAGGATGCGTAGAGTTAAGTAGGGCGTGCAAATGGTGTCTCCCTACAAATTTTAAGCATGGAAGCAGGTTTTATATTGCCCAACACGACATCATGTCTTCCATGCACCGAAAAGTACAAAACTTGCGTTCAATGTCATTTCAACATTGATATGATGTAAACATGATCAGGTCCTTATTAGTAATTTTTAATATATTTTATTTGCAAAATTAGTAAAAGATAGAGATTAGATAAAGTTAGTTGGGAGCATTAATTATAATCAGTTGCTATATAATGCAATATGATCTCGCTCTTAGAGAAGATATAATTCATTCATTTCCAAATTTATATTCTCCTCTTTCCCTCCTTCAATAATACTCTCATTCGGATTCTCTTCTTTCCGTGGAATCCCTATTTTCTACCTGTTCTTCAAATTCTCATTGAATTCCTAGTTCTAGTCTTAAGATATTTCCAAACACACCATTTACTTCCATAAAGAATCTTTTTTTAGGACGACAAACTCTTCCCTTTAGGTTTTTAGGTTTTTAAGTTTTAACTACTCTCCATAAGAATCTTTAACAATATGAGTGAGAAACAAAATGCAAGAATATATAAAATCCCTTTCTCTTTTTTTTTCTTTGCGGGACTGGTGCAACAGCAGTTCAAATATATCTCCTCCATTAACTGATTTGACTAGCATTTGTATCAGACAACCATGAGAAACGAAGAAATCAAAGTCTCCTAATAAATACAAAACCCAAAAGAGAAATATAGAGCCTTAATGAGGAAAGTTCAGCCTATTTTATACATGCTGAAAAGCCCACTTCTATCAACTTACAACAGGCCCGAGCTATATATAGAATTGACTAACTAAACTATTTACCTACAACATCCTTTCCTTTCAAAATAAAGATCGAAGCTAGAGTGCAAAGATACAAGCTACATTACACTATCTTTTACCATAATTCATGGGGCTGTGCTTTAGCCAAAAGAGTATCATACACACGATGAGCTTCCTCAATTTGATTTCTAAGCTGCATAACCTGTACAAACACATCCTCTTAAATGAGTCAAAAATGCCATACATATTTTTATTCTAAGCATCTTCTTCAGCGAACCTAAACAAATTTCAACCAGCATCTAAGTATACAATTACAAACTTAACACTCTGTCTGAGTGAGGGAAGAAATAATAGGGTGAGAAACAAAATAAAAATAAAGAGATATAAAGGCAGCACCCCAGCATTCATAATTCTCCAAAATACAACTAGACTAACAGTGGGGATTTGGCAACTAGACTACACAAAGTAATGAACCAACCACTATTCCATACAAAAATTACCTTAAGATTAAGTTCTTCCTCTGCCTTTTCATATTCTAAACATCTGCAATAAATAAAATAAAATAAAATAAAAAAAGATAAACAAGGGCTTTGCTTCATGGTGTTTCATGTGATAATTAAGAGAAGGAAACTTATTAATGTTCCCAAAGACAAAATCCAATAAGGAAAATCATAAACATGGCGTGTAGCTTGTGATTGGCAGCAATGGTTGACTGTGATTAAGCCAATCCAAGTAGTTGTACAACAACATTGCATGAAATCAAGTATTGAGTGACTAAGTGACTAATTAATTAGAAATATACTCACTGTTGTAAGAGTTTTTTGTTCACTTTCATCAACTTCATAACTTCTGGGTCTATCGTCTGATCTGTAGGAGATGCATTAATCTACATAAAAAAACAAGTGTGGAATTAGCACGGCATTAAGAAAATTTTTGACTATTTACAATGACAAAGTATACAGGTCAAGGCAATCAAACAAATCAATATAAAAATTAAGGATAAATTAAAAATTTGATCCCCTACTCTTGACGTTGCTTTCTGTTTTAGTCCCTAAATAGAAAAACAAATCAAAACTACATTCTAGTCTTACATAAACACATTGATCCACTTCACTTTTTAGTGTTACTATAGTTTTAAATTTGGTCCCTATATTTTGAGTCTTGGACAATATTTTTAGTTTTAGCCGCTATATAAAACAAATTTATGCATTCTTTTGGTTTAAATTGAAAAATTCAACATCCCCTGTCTACCATTATAAGCATAAAAAAATTGAAAATTCAACATTTAGGGATTGATCCTATTTGGTCTTGTGTATAAATATTGTACAGTATACCGATGCAAATCGATTGATGATACATTCAGATTCAATTGTCCCTACAAGAAAAATAATAACACCATTATAATGCCAACAAACAAAGGAGACTGATTTGAAAATATTTTTCCATGTAGGGACCAAACTATTGAATTTTTGTTATATGGGGACTAAAATGAAAATTTGCAGCAAATGAATTTAACCAAAAATGAATAATTTCTTCTAAGTCAATTAATGATGGTAGCACAGCAAATCAAGAAAAGAAAAGGGCAAGTTAATAGGTGTCAGTATTAAAGTTAAAATTGTTAGAAAACAAAGACAACTGTTGTTGTATTTATGAGAACAGTGTTGAACACATTCAAAAGAAACACAAAAAACTACACACCAGCACATTCTGATCGCATCCAGCAACTGTAACATTTTCTTCCACTGCTTTCCTTTTCATCTTTTGAAGGTCTATACTTCCATGTGTCTTCCTCTTATTAAGAGATGCAGCTGAAGCGCAATGAGAAACTGTTGGATAAAATTGGTTAAGCTAGTAGTAAAAAAATCTTGTTTCTCACATAACCAGTTGCCTTTTTCAGATATGTTTTGTGTGTCGGACAATAGTGCAAGTGAGGAACAATTTTTCGCTGCAATTGGTTTTTCCATAATATATTACATCTGCAATGATGAAATAAGTGGCCTACCTTTGCTTTCCTGATACCCAATTAGATGACAGTGACAATCCCTGAAAATTTTTAACATGGATCCTGGCATGTCAAATTTTAATGCTTAAAAACAATAAAGGGAGAGGTGGATTAATACTGAGTTAGGATCAAGCCGCAAAAATAAATAGTCAAACTCCGTGCATCTTCTACTTTAAAGTTATCATACTGAATAATCCTGCACATGTTTCAAAAGCAGAAAACATACAAAAGAAGAAAAGATAACAAACAAGCAAAATATATAACTCAAGATCCACGTACACAACAGGCATAAACACTATACCAGTACTCCCATGTCATTTCCTTCAGGCGTACTCCAAGCTTTTGAAACAGGGAACTTCTCTCAAAATCTTGTTTATTATGAGTTGGCTCAAGATAATCAGCTCGCAAGATACCTGAAACAAGAGATAACTATCCTCTAGAAGTCCAGCATATTTCAAATATTTAGACATTAAATAGAACTGAATATTTTCAAGTAATATGCTCTTGCTGCTTACCAACTACACCTCTACCCCTACTACGTGAATAGTTCACAACCTTCCAAAATGGCTGCAAAAGAAACATAGTAATTGTATCACACACACACACATGTCAACTACTTGTATTTTGAATTTTTATGATTATAATTGAGATCTTCCCCCATCTTCCTCTACTTGTATTGAGTTATCATCCATTTGATCAACTTTTCTAACTAGTGCCTCTGTTGTGAGATAATTACCAGTATAAGCCGATTTTTGTGATATACATTGAAGCCACGGACGTTCACTTCAGGAGCTTCCTTAACAAATCCAATTGTAGTTACAACTATTCCCTGCACCATTAATCAAAAAAATAAATAAATAAATTATAGCTAGCAGATGTACCTTCACTACCTTAGTTCAACTGCTTGCTCCTTAAGATTAGAACCACTAATTATTAATATCAACATAGAATCATGCATGCATGATGGATATGAAGCCTTCAATTGACATCTTGCAACCATGTTATAGATATAAAATCACTCTTGAATTCATTCACTCAAATTTTTGGGATAGTTGGTTCCTGACACAATATTAGAGCCTTAATGACCATGTGATCCAAAATTCAATCCTTGTTGCCCCAATTCTTTCCAATAAAAGTTGATACTTAATCACAAGGTAGAGTGGGCCCATGTGTAGCATTAAATTTTATAAATAAAACCATTTATGTGCTTTCACCAAATAGCTTTAACACTTCAGGCATTTAGTCATTATAATGCCTATTTAGTCTGTCAAGAACCAACTCTCTTAAAATCTTAAGCTGTTAATTGAAGTGATTGTACATGATTTTATCTTTAATAATATATCCCCAAGATGACTTCCCAGTGAGTTCGTAAAGAAAAAAAAAAAACTTTCAGCAGTCAGACAAGAACCTCTTCAGAATCACCACTGTGTGGTTTATACAAGATAAATTCAGTATATTTGAGATCATCTGCAATGTTATGTAGCTTCACAACTTGTCCTCGCAATATAATTCTAAAACTTTCTGGTATCCCCAAGTACAATATGGAGAAGTAAGCCTGTTTAACATGAGAATATTAGTCCAGAGAATATACAAACTTTTATATAGCCACTTAACCATAAGTTTCATCAAACGTACACGTAAAGAATAATGAAAACGGTTGCCAATGTGTTCCTCATTTACTATCTTCCAGGAAGGAATTGTGTCAATCTTCTTGATATGCCCAGCAATACATATATCCTGCATCCAAATTATTAGAAGTTCCCTCTGAGTAATGAAAGCATAACTATTAGCAAAGAGAAAAAAGGAAAATCAATAAAACAAAAAAATACAACCTCAGGATCAGAATCAAAGTCTAGCTCCAAATTGCCATCATCGTTGAACCATAAATTGAAAATAATAATTTTGGTACCATGATTTCCAATGTCATCAAACTGCCAAGAGTGAAGCATATTGAAATTTTAAAGAGAATCATAAACTTAGAAGGAAGTTGATATCCTTCAACTAGACCCACATTTTAGGAAGTGGCAATGACATTAAAAAAGATTAAAGCTCAAATTATCCCCATACTTTGGTTTCCTTATGGTAAAAGGCTGATTGTAACAGTCCATACATCTTACTAGTTTGCAATTAAAGTATCTTTACTTTAAGTTTTGATCCACTTGGGAACTTGTAATTTTTACACATTCTCGTCTTTTTGGTGATTGGATATAACTTTATGCAAGTCAGGTTATTAATGATCTCTTCTTTAGTAATGAGTTTTTTTAAGATTCAACTAATAGTAGAGTCCTATAGCTTAGCATGTTTGGATAGGGTTATCAAGTAATTGCAGTCAGGGGTGGGAGGGAAGCTTTTTTGAAAAAAATGTTTGCTAAAACAATCAAAGTGATAAAATAAAACACATTTTTTAATGAAAAAAATCCTTTTTATCATAAGCAAAATTTTGGAGCTTAAGATTAGAAATCATTTACTATTTTCTAACTAACTTTTGTTTTTTCATTTTATATCCAACTTTAAATTATTTCATACAAAACCAAGTACTACAAATAACTTCAGACCTTATTATTAATTTTAGAACAAATAGTGATTTTTTTTACAATCTAACTGAAAAATATCATCTTAAAATCTCGTTTCACCTAACAAATCCAAGCATAAAAAATTGTATTTCTATAATTGATTATAGCGGTAATCAATTATTAAAAGAATATTTTTTAAAAAACTAATCCAAACACACCTATTAAAATTAGGATTTCATTCCTAACCTTTACATTTTTCCTATTTTCTTCTCTATTTTTACCATTCTTCCTTTGATTCTATCAACTGCTAACATCAGATTTCTTAGGAAAGCATCATCGAAACTTGACCATATAAAAATCATAACTTTGATTCTTCCATCTTAAAACAAACCAAACCCCAAATCTTAATTTCATAGTATTGTTCAGAGTACCCAATTGACTGCTGAAACCACATTCGAGTGCTTTTAATGTAATTAATGACTGTAACACCACCTTTACTGCAGAAACTGCCTCTGATACAGTATCAGTGTGATACCAAAAAAATACCCATCTGGATACAGTTTTCAAGATCACTTTCTAACCTTCAAGGTATTTGAAAGAGCTGGACTCTCCCTCCCAAATTTTACTCAAACAAAAGAATCCACTCTCTTCTTTCCCTCTTATACTTATTACTTATATCCTGTTATTCCTCTCTAAAAAGCTAAGGATGTGGGGGCTTTCTACAATGTAAACCCCTTCTAGTTTCCCCAACCAATCAATACTCATAATTGGCCCAAGAAAACAGTGTTATAGTAAGTTTCTCTAGTCTCTCTGAAGATTAGTAATAGAACAAGAGACACCCTAAAAGAGCATTAAGCCAATCCATAAAACACCTGACCTAAGTAATGTTAATCAAACAGTTCTCTCCCATAAAAGGAGCCTTTGATTTTCTTATTTAAAATCTGATCCCAGCATTACTATGTAGCTCAGGCCATACAAGTCCAGAAACCTCTGCATCTCTTACTGTTTTGCCAGATACATTTAATTCCAAATTTGACATCAACATCTCAACAAAATAGATAAATATATATATAGAAGACAAATTATGAATTGGCATCCTACAACCTAAAATACAGTTCCAACTCCCAAGAGAAACCTAACAAGTATTTTAAGGAACGAGAATAAGGAACAATTATTAAAATGCAATAAACTATATGTTTGTGTTGTAAGGCTGTCTATCTCTAGAACAGGGGAAAAGAAATTCCAAAGAAAAAAATCACAATCGTTCAAATTAAATTATTTTTCAAGACAAATAAGGTTACGTTCATGGTGTAAGGCTGCATTGTCTAGAATAGGGAAAAATATATGACAACTATCCAAAGTAAACTATTTTTCAAGACATAAACAAGGTTATATTGTTTGGAACAAAAAGAAAGAAAAGAAAAGCAAAGACAAACATATCGATCATTAAGTATGCTCTAAAAGTAGCAGCCAATTATCATGGATGATAGGAAAGTTTCAGAAACTGACTTGTTTCAGAAGTTCTGCTTCTGATATATATGGAGACCAGCGCAATAGTATGGATAAATTAGACCTAAAATATTCTTTGTCATTTAGTATTTGCAAGCATCCAGTTGATGGATCAAACTTATAATTCACCTGAAATTAACATGGTCACTTAGTCATATCAATTGAAACTGCAGGAGCAGAACCTTCATTCTAAAGAATGGTTATCACTCGAAAGAGATTAGAAGCAATACATCAAAAACCAAAATGATAGACAAGAGAGAAAATTGAAGGCAATAAATATCAGCAGTATGCACCATGACAATGCCAAGTTAACTTACAAGTACACTACACCAACATGTAAGCTTACTTACAATCAAAAGAGGTGAAAAAATAAAGGGTGCAATATAAATTTTACCCTTCTTGAAGTATAATCTTTCTCAACTGAATTTCATTTGTTGAATAGGGAAAAGTTTCCATTAAAAAAACCATCCTTTTTGACTTCTCTCTCCTGAAGAGATTTTGATATTGCTTAACTACCATGTTGTTTGGCAGTTATTTAGGAATCTCTCTATTCTAGACCTGATCTGGTGCATCACCTTCTCCTTCTTCTTACATACACCTTGAGCTTGGACTTCAGATCCTCATCAGATGTCCAATAATAAAAAGTAAACTTATGGGAGTTAAGTTGAGAAAGGGCTTTATAGATCAGGTCTCAAAAATATATTGACTTCTTTTCGGGAAGATATTTTACCCCCATAATAAAACATGATACTTCGTTTTCAAACAATCAGGATCACATTGTAACACATTAATTTCCACATAAAGCCCCGAGACCAAACAACATATAGTTACCATGTCCACTTCTTTTAGTAACAAATCAGCAAAGAAAATCAGAATTTTTAAATATGCACTACATAAACCAGAACCCTCTAAAAAGTAAAAAATGGGAAATGCAACTCACCATGGGGATTACAATTCTGTCAAACAGTTTTTGCATCAAGAATGTGTAAGACAGAAGTCCAATGCTACGAGTCAATATCCTGATCGACATAAAATCATTAGAGGAAAAAAAGAAAGAAGTTTATAGTAATTTAAAGTTTCTCCCATAATTTTACACATTGTTGCAAAACTTCCATCTTATTTTCGGGTTAGTGGGTGAATAAAGCAATAGAATGAGTGAGAGAAAGAAGCAACTAGGTTGTAATGATAACATGGATAGAATGGAACAGTTTTAAGGCTATATAGCCTCCAGAGACAGAATGTTCAAATTCCTAGCAGCAGAGCACATTCTAAAACACCTTAGTCTATATTCCCATCACTATAAGGCTATATATATACAAAGAATTCGGAATATTTTCCAATCAGACCTCAAATTTCAACATATAAACTAAAAATACCTTCGTTGTGTCATTCAGTAGGAAGAGCAATGCTCAAAAAAACTACAATGTAAAGTCACGAAATTGGGGACCCATACATGTTATTCATGTGGCAGCTGAAGACAATGACATCTGCACCCAGTCTCATGCTACCAGTCTTAAAGCCATTTCCATCTGCAAGGCCAAATGAAAAAATAAACACAAAAGAAAGTACCAAAATCATTGCAAACAGAATGCCGTAGTCCTTACACTGTCCAATTGCAATTTTTGACTTGTCTGAAAATCCAAAGCTCATGCATTGAAGCATTGCTTGTGGATCCATTCCACCACCATCGTCTGTATGCAAGTATCAGAACAATATCAAAAGAATTAGAATATTATATATTGTCAAATCATCAAATTCAGCATAAATATACGAGATACAAGATTCAAAAGTAGGAAGTTAAAAGGATGTATCATAAGCAATATACCTTGAATCAACAAGGCTGGACTTCCATCTTTTGGATTGAAAATTTTATCTACAAGAACAAAAGTAGCCCCATTTTGGGTCTACCCTACGAATAAAAGTCAATAATGCAATACAAAATATGAAATGCAAAATCTTAAATGGAAGCTTCAAACATGGCAAAAGCACAGTACAGTAGAGGCAATAGGCATTAAGAATGGATTTAGATCCTCTCAATTCTCAAGTTAATAATAACAACCCAATGTCATGTTAGAGAAAAACCGAAAAACATAAAAGTAAAATTAATATACCCTAAACAAATAATGATTGTCGTCTTAGTTACTACATAAGAGTATCCTGATCCATTAAGATAATATCAAAACCTAATTCAAAATAAATGCATCAAAATAATATCTAAAACAGAACAAAGTGCACATGGCAGTGCGCGCTTTTATCCCAAAAAAATATTATTACAATGTTATGTAATGTAGTTCATATATTTCAATTTCAAGCTGTCAAAAAGGCCACGCTAAACCAAATGAAGCAAATTTGGGACACGGATATAACACATAAAAAAATAAAATAAAAAAAGTAGACAGCGCACTATTAGCTGCCAATAGCTTAACATGCAAGAAAAAAAATAATCAAAGAAAATAGCACAAGCTCAGCTATCGCGAAGAATCACCTCATCAACTGCATTATCAAGAAGCTCAGCTATAGCTGCAGACAGAAAAACAGGAGAATGTTCTAACTTGAGAAAAGAACAAAAAAAAAAGTAATATATATATACACACATATATAAAGGTGGAACTCGGAAAGAAACATTGAGAAGAAATAAGTATTAGAACATACCACCGAATGCCCACTTATGCGAAGTCGCATTCGAGTGAAGGAACGAAGGGTGGACATGCAAGTAGTTTTCAGCATCTGCAATGCAATAATTAAAATTACATATAAGCACAATCTCCCTTTGAACCTCCTTGCCACAAGCTTAGCACGTAGCATGTGAGATCCCAAAAGGAAAAAATAAATTATATCCAGCATCAAAGTACTTCTTTTTTTCTTTCTATTCTCTTCGTAATAAAATTATTAAGATAGAACTCTAATTATAATATAACGCAATATCATATACATAAAAAAACTGCAACAAAATTTTGTTCATCCCAAACTATGATCCCTAAGAAAATCATGTGGGGAAAAAACATTTTTTTAATAATCAGGGTTTATTTGACTAAAATAACCCGGGTAAACAAAATATTGGGTGGGTCCATATTAAATTACTTTGGAAGGTGGTGAGTTTGGAGGCAAGGGCACTATCATTGTTTCCTGCTTTCCAAAAGTTCCTAGAAATTGATGGAGAAAAGAGTGTGTCTTGAACATGCAACAGTTCCTGCTCCATTGCACTGGAATAACTGTGACTAGTGCTTCGAGCACTAGAGCTTTTATCAGAAACTTGGACGGCAGAATAATGAGTTTGAGTTTGAGTTTGAGGTCTCTGGTGCTTGGCCACATTCTGTTTCTTTGCACTACTAGCAGCTTTGGAAACATTTTCCCCTTCATCATCACTGCATAAGTCCACAATTTCTATAGCAGCCATTTTTGTTCCCCTCACCAAACAAGCGTCCATTTTTTTTGTCCTTTCCTCTACTTCTGGAACAAGTTATACCAAAAGACAAGAAGGATAAGAATAAAATACGGTAATTTCTATTGTATGTAAAAAATAAAAATAAAAATACATTTTTTATTTTTAAATATAAATAAATTTTAACTATTTTTTTTATCTAATTTAACAGTATTTTTCTTAAAATATTCTTTCTTTAATACATAACTTTTCAGTAATATAATAAGAATAATTTTAAAAAATATTATAAGATTAGTAAAATTTAATATAAATAACTATTTTTTTAATATTCATAAAATTTATTTATTTTTAAAGTAACACTAAAAAAAGTATTTAAGTTATTTTTTAATTAAAATATATTTTTTTATAATTAACTTATATTACCTTCATTCTTTATTGTAATACAATTTAGAGAAAAAAGAATAATCATTTTTATAAGATAATTTTTATAAGATATTTTATAATTTTTATAGGGTATTAGTTTTATTTTTCATCTTTTCTATGTATTAATGATATTAAGAATATGTAATGAGAGAAAAACTTAATAAATAAATATTATCTCTTTTCCTTGATTCTTGTCATCATCTATCAAATTTATTGGTATTTATGTATAAGTTTTAATATGAAGTAACATTTTCAACTTTCTCATAAAATTAAAATGATAAGTAAAAAGGATATAATTAGTATATAATGATTTTATTTTATAAATTTAATAAAATTAATTATCATGATTATTTATATTGATATGTGTGATTTGATTAAAAAAGTCTTATAATATTTTTAAAAGTGTTTTTCATCAATTATGCATAAGTTTTTAAGATTTTTTTATTCATAAGTTAAGAATTATAATAAATAAAAATTGATTTTTAAAGTATAATCTTGAAGATTTTTATTGCACTTCTTTGTTTTACAATAAATATATAATAGTTGTAAATTTATAAATTAATTAAACCACTAAAATCGACCTAATAATAAAAGAGTTAAGTAATATATATAAGGTTTTAAGTTTAAATTATGATATTGTTAGTATTTATGTAATTGTGATAAATTAAAAAGTTATAAATAAATTAAAAATTAAGTGAAAAATAAGGATATAATTAAAAATTAATAATGAATTGTATTTTAAATTTTGTATATGACATATACATTGAAACAAAAAATTTCCAATGAAAAAAGTATCTTTCTTAAATATCACATGAAATTAAATATTCGTGATTCAAATATAATTATATCACCTAAATTTACTATTCTAACGTTAATATAAATTGGCCTTTTCCATTATATATTCAAAATACAGGGGAAGGTTTGGGCCAATTAACCTACTCAAAACAAGGGTATTTTGGACAATCAGCTTTCCACTCGGTAGTGCAAAGGAAAAGTTAAAATGATAATTAAATTTACACATGTGAAATGTATTAAATAGGTTTCGGAATCATGCTTAATTCATAGAAAAATGGGTAATGTAATTATAAAGATATTAAGAGTCACAAAAACCCACACAAAAAATAAAATAAATTCAACAGTATTACAACTTATATATAAGACTTTTTTTTCCATTGAGTCACAGTGTACTCAAGGTTTTTCATTTTTTATTTAAATATTTGTATTTTCGCTTCCACCTTTTTATGTTAATTTTTAGGTTTTAAGCCTTGAGGATCACATTAATAGATCAAGTGCTTCTTCTTTATGTTACCTATGTTTTCTTTACAACATTCTTTATGCTACCTACTAAAAACACATTATTTTTCCTCCCCACTACAATGTGATCTACCAATAATATTATTACAATTATTGGAGATAAACTTTTTTAGTATAACTTACTTATTGATGAATAAGATATTCACTCAAAAAAATTAGTATATAATTTAAATGATTCTAATTAAATAAGTTATAGATGAGTTTAATTTCTTCAATATATTTTAAACAAATAAGAAAAAGAGAGTAATAGTTTTTTTTAACCCATCCATTATAATTCAACTCAACTTATTCAAATAATTTTATTGACACCAAAATTACAAAATATAGTGAACACTAATTTTTTTAGTGCTTTTGAAAAAACATTGGAGAAACTTAACATATAAGCTAGTTTGAAAAAAATTATTTAATAAACGAGTTTATTTTAATAGTTTAAAGCTTATGTTATAAGATATTTCAACTAGTTTATAAAAATAAATTAGCTTATAAACTATATTAACATTTTTAGCTTTTTTATTTTTATCTTCATCAATTTATTTGAGATTTCTCCAAATAATTAAATATATCTTTTTAGTGTCATTTTATATTTATATGCTAACTTATTAGTTAATTTTTAAATTTTTTTATTGAATCAGTTAGTTATTATTTTAATCTTTTCATCTCTCATTTATAACTTATACATCAACCGTATCAATCATACTCATTATGTTTTTCTTTCTTACTTTTTTTTTTCTGGTAAAGATCGTTTTCTTCTCCTATAAGGAGAGTAAATTTTTTTTTAAAATTACCGGTACCTTCGTACATAACTATTATTAGCACGCACATATCTATTTCTACTTTTTAAAATTGGATAATTTTTTAGTTTGTCTATTTTATTTTGCTTTAAAGTTTAAACTTTCATTAAAAAAATGAAGAAGCTCATACTCGACAATGGATTCGATCCATTTTTTTCGAGATTCAAAAGGAAGAAGAAAAAAAAGTTGAGATCGAATTACATGCTCAGATACATGAATAATTCATTAATCCCAACAAATAAGGAAAAATATTTTTTAATAACATAAAGTTTAGGAAGAAGAGAGATTGGTCATTAATAACATAAAGTTTAATAGTTCATTACATGTAGATGACTACAAATGAATGAAATGTTACGAATCAAACACGACATATGTTAATTCAAACTCATGGCGAATGCCATTGACCATATTGGAGAAGTATCAATAAGAGAATATCAGTTTCACAAGTCATAACAACTTTAATACATCAACAAGTTGCAAGTGCTAAGCCAACCTGAGTTTCTCTTTGTTACCCCTTCAGTGCTGCTTCACGTACAAAACAATGTACTATAATAAGTCATAAGTGGCTTCATGACCATAATTATCACTTTCATCCTTGCATCTTATGTTGAGCAAAACCCATACATGTCCTCCTTTGCTTAACTTCCAGCCTTGCATATAAGAACTTTATACCCTCAAAATTAAAAATTAAGCTCATTAGGAGAGTAATGACTTTCCTCAATTTTCTATTATGCCTCGTTTAGCTCACCCTCTGAATCATCCAAAGATTTCAAGTTCATCTACCTAGGCTGGGGTGCCCCAATATTTATTTGGTATTTTGAATCAGGGCTCCCCGTGGTGTTGAACCTACAAGAAGAAGAAAGGGAATTCTATAGTACTGCTAAATCATCACTTTGGTGTAGGGAACTGGTGGTGCTGTGGAAGGAGGACCTTGCACTTACACGCCCGTTTGAGGATAGATTGCTCGTTGTGGAATTTATAGTGCGGTCATTTACACTTAGCCCACTGAAATTGAGGAATGGTTGTTGCTTTGGGGAGGGAATAGCGTAGTCTTTCTTGGTTAGCATCTGAACTATCTCAGACATGGATGGTCTAAGAGTAACAGAAGATTGTGTACAAAGCAGGCCAACTTGGAGTGCATTTGATGCCTCATCTACCGTAAATTTTCCATGCAAAGTGGGATCAATGGATGCTGTGATAGTTTTAGCCTTGTAATTCTTCCAGACCTGAAAAAGAGATAAAAAGAACAGGTTACTAACTGCTAATGAAATTTACCAATACTAATAAGTTAAGGTATGAGAGACTGTAAATCTTACACAGTGGAGTACTGAAGTTGACCCCGGTATGAAATCACTGTTCTTCTTACCACAGACAATTTCAACAACTATCACACCAAAAGCATAGATATCTGCCTTCTCTGTCAATTGACCTTTGAGAACAAACTCGGGAGCCATATATTCCCTGCCATAAGCAATTGATTTTAATATGGACCAGATCAATTATGTATCACAAGTGATTTTTTTATTTATTTATTGAAATTGAACTTTGTTATCAATTTTATTAGAAAATATTTAAGAGGTTGTGACTTGAGATTCCAAGGAAACGTTTTTAGTTCCTTTGTAAAAAGTTTTAAAAAAGGATTTGCAGTTTTAAATAATGCATGGCCTGGATATCAACTAGAATTAGGGGTATGTAACTCAGTTCGGAATCCTCAAAAGTTTATAAATAAAAAGTAAATTGAAATGACAGAAAATTTCTACTCACAGTGTCCCCGCATTTCCTGTGCTAAGATGAGATTTGTTTTCAGTGAGACAACGAGCAAGACCAAAATCAGCTATTTTTGGATTAAGATTCTCATCAAATAGTATGTTGCTGGACTTTATGTCTCTGTGAATAATCTTTGATCCAGAGTCGCCATGAAGGTATGCTAAGCCCTCAGCTATCCCACATATGATTTGAAACCGTTGTTCCCAGCTCAGAACATTTTCCGAGTTCTTATCTGCAAATTACAATGGATCTTTTCTCAATTTTGAAAAGCAGAAGGGACACAGATAAAAAATAATAATAATAATAAATAAATAAATAAATAAATAAAATAAAAAATAGAAAGGAGAATAAGATAACTTGTATATCCGTTCTTTCCCCCTTAAAAGTTAAGCTGAATTTCATGAATCAGATGATAACTATAGGCTCAAATCCAAAATAAGTGATCAAATTGTGCCAGTTACTAATCAAGACACCAATAAAAATCTTGATTTTTTGACTAAGAATACACAAGACAGTAAAATACATCTAGAAAAATGTCTCTGGCTAGTAAACCAGTATTGTTCAATAGAGAATCGAAACTGCATATTTCTTGCACGTACTATGATGTCATCATATATTCAAACTAGACTACTCACCGAAAAGAACTTGATCAAGACTTCCATTGGGCACAAATTCATAAACCAATAGGCTTTCAGGACCTTCAATGCAGCCCCCAAGAAGTTTCACCACATTCTTGTGCTGAATTCCATTAATTAAAGTGACCTCATTGCATAACTCATCTGTCCATTGCCTTGCATCAAAAAACAGTTGTTTAACAGCAACGGTCCTCCCTGAGTTGAGGGTTCCTTTGAACACGGAACCAGCTCCACCCTGCCCTAATTTGTTTGCGGGATCAAAATTATTTGTGGCCTTCTCAAGCAAATCGTAACTAAAACTGGAGCCAGCAAAGAAGGCAAAGCCAGGTGACGCACCACAACTGTCGCTTACTATACAGAGTAAGATTAGCACGTTAGAGCAGAGAAAATACTACTACATAACAAAAAAAAGTACCAGCAGTCTAGCATAGCATGGCCAGCCTTAGTTTTTTAAGGGTGCCCCCTAACTAAGTCTATTGTCTTTGCATTTTTTTATTTTTAGATTATTAGGATATAAAAGTATTTTTTAGGATCATGAACTAAATATATTTCATTTAATATCATTTTTATTTAATTTATCTTGTAATGGAAAAAAAAAATTAATAATAGTGGAAAGTCGCCAATAAATCTATAGTAACTAACAAATAGAAATTTTTAATTTAATTTTAAAATTTTAACAAAGCATAAAAGATTACAATCAAGCGAATAAATAAAGAATCAATAAATTATGTGTATATATATATGAAAAAAAAATTCAGACAATCTTTATTTATCCACAATAAAGGAAATATAAGATAAGATAAAATAAAAAATAATATATTATATTATATGTCACATTTTTTTCTTTATATTTAATATCACCTAATTATTTTCTTAAAATTATGAATAATTTTTTATTAAGAAATAGAAACATCAAACATCAATTGTTGATTATTATTAATTAATTAACTTTTTATAATAATATTTTTTATATAATTTAATTATGTAAATTTTATTTTTATATTTATATAAGTTAAAAAAGAATTGGTGTGCCTGTGAAATAAGGCCCTATGCGGTTGTCCACTGTGATCGTGCACAGGACCGCCAGTACGGTCTACCATCTATGGCTTCAGATGAGTTAGCATTACCTCTTCTCTGAGTTGCCAGTCTTTTACAGCATAGACATGCAGCAATGAGGATGAGTAAAATCACTACAACCGCTGATAATACACATGCAACGATCATCCATGTACCAGGCTTTTCTGAAAACATTGCAAGGTTACAAGTAACTTCAAATGTAGAAATAAAACAATTCCAATGTGCTAGCTACACGCCAATTAATGTCATATACATACACATGAAAATTACTAACTAATTAAAAAAAATAAAAATAAATTAATGTGTTACCTTTAGGATTTTTAGAATCCTGGATTTGTGGTGCTGGAACGACGTCGTTGTAGAATTTGCGCCTGGAATACCTCAAAAAACAACCAGTGAAGAGACTCTTACCCTCAGCAGCAGGCACACATTCCTGCATTTTCTTCTGGGCTTCGTTCAAGCATATCTCGCACGTGGGTTTATTCAGGGTCGCCCAGCACTGCGCCAAGGCGAAAACCCCGTCGCCCCCGCCCACCGCGAATCCACGCTCCACCGCGGCCTTGGTGACGTTGGCAACCACCTCCGCCACCTTTGCCTGACCGTCTTTTCCGAGAACCGGCGCCTGGCAAATGCTGATGTCGAGAGCGGGGTCGACGCTCTCGCGAAAGAAGGAGTAGTTGTCGTAGCGGAGGAAGCAACCGTCGAGGTAGATTCTGCCACCTGTCTTGGGCACGCAGTGCGATAGAACTTGTCGGGCTTCGGCGAAACAGGTGCGGCAATCCGCGGGCTTCAGGTCGCGCCTGCATTGGCCCAACGCGTACATGGGAGGCCCAGAGCCCAGCAGCGCCTGCGCTGCCCAGCCTTGGTCATACACCCGAAACGACACCGTGTCCATTATGGCCATGAACTTGGACGCGCTTGATTCGGGGGTCTGCGATGAGCCGCACGTGAGACCGGTTTGGTGTACCCTTGATGAATCCGCACGTGGGATTAATAACCACGACGATACCAGGAATGTTAGGAATAATAGCTCACGCATGTTGAAAAATTGCAGCATTTTTTTTCTCTGAATTGCTAACAAGTAACTATTTGTCTCGTTTCCTTTTCCTCCTAATCAATGATTTCTCTCTTCTAAAAAAAGAGAATCCGACATGTCTTCATCGCGTAGATGGTTCTGTTGATTAATTTTCTCAAATGCATGATCCTTTTATTTTAGATGATATAAGAGAGAGCGGAGATGGGAAAAATGAACTGGCTTGCATGGCGTGGTTTGGCTACGCAATTCGTTGTTTCTTGCTGTCACCAGAAACAAACTTATCTTCCTAATTCCAACCAACGTATTGGTTCGACATCTTCAGGGAACTCCCCCTCGGAGACTTGTCGATGCCAAACCAATTACGTAGTTGAATTAGTTATCCTTTTCAACTTTTCATGGATAAAATCTTTTTCTATATATGTTCGATTCAACCAAATAAAAATGCATCTTTTTTTACCATAATATCAGGACATTTGAATATGATAATATGTTAGTAGATCCAATGTTGAATATAATATACATGTATTGTAATTAGATCAAACCCTAACCAATAAAATAATTATTCATTGCTTTTTACACAATAAAATAATTATTCTTAAAATACGTAACAATTATTAAATCTTTGCCATGTATGAATTACTCAATTATATCATGACTCAAGCTTTTGCAATAAGGAAACAGGAACTGAATTTAAAATGGATATTATTATAATATTCTTTAATTTTACTAGATAATTAGTTTGTTTAAATTTTTTAAAAAAAGTAATTATAAAAAATACTTTTAAAAATGTATTTAAAGATTGTTAGATAGAAATTATTTCTTAAAAATCAATTTTTTTAATAAACAGTTTACACAAATACATCAAGTGTTTTTTTTAGAAAAATAAAAAATTAGTTCATTATCTATTTTAGCTACGGCAAGTGTTTGATTTTGTTTTTAAGATACATATATAAGAATGTTTATAAATTATTATTAACTTTGATTCAAATAAGTAATGTGAGACTTTTTTTATGCATTCAAATAAGTAATGATGATTTTTTTTATAAGAATTAAACGTAGAATAAGTTACGTAATCGGTGTGTAACACAACTTATATTTTCATTCAATAGATTTTCATAACATGACTTTTTGGTTAAAAAAATATATTTTTTTTAAAAAAACTAGTTAATAGTCATACAGTTTTTATTATAACTTATAGAAGTTTTTGCTAACACGTGAAACTTATGAATGACAATATTGAATTCTTGAGTCTTTAAAAGAATATATTTAGTTTATAGTTTATATAAATATTAATATTTTAATTAAATTTTTAGTATTTTAATAAATATTAATGTTTTAATAAAATTCATAATTATTAGTATTTTTAATAAAATTTAATATTCATATATTTATAGTTGTTCTAACAAGGAAATGATTGCATGTCTTCAAATGGAAGTCTTTAGTCCTCTTTGAATGGAAGTCTTTGATCATCCACTTCCAAGTGTCAGGTGATTTGTACTTGTAAAAGAAATTTTAGTGTCAAAGTTAGCAAATAATCAAAGTGATTAGGTGTATTGTACATATGTACCTTATGAATGTCTATTGTATATATATTTATAGGTAAAAGAATATTACCATTAAGGATCTAGTTGTTAGGTATGTTCAAAAGCTTTTATTGATTTGTAACGACTGGATGTTACTCATTGTGATGAGTGTGACGAGTACAACCAATTATCCTCAATTACACATTTTGGTAGTTCTAATGCTAGTAGTCAAATATATATCAAATATTCCAAGTCCTTTCGCAGTCGAGGTGGACAATGTATCATCCCTAAGACCTCTTCGATACACAAGTCCCACAAGTTTTTAATGTATGGGAGAGGAGTTTTGAATTGTGAAAATTTCAAATGTTTTCGCTTAAAATTTGATTACTTTCACAATTATCGCCTCTCAAGTACTCTAGTGTCTTAAAAGTCACATCAAATGTAATGATAATATGTCAAAAATCTTAGGAAGATTCTAGAGGCTATGAGTAGGTGTGAAACGCACTTCAAATGTGAAGGGTTACACCTCATCTCACTGTTAATCTTAAAATGATTCAACAGACCTACGAGATGTGATGTTTTGTTTCTTAGGACTTATCTCATCAATAAATAGGGTTTCTTTGCCCTCTCAAATATTTACTTGCAACCATTGACTTTCGAATATATCGAGTACTAGCCTTTCCTTCATTCAATCTTTGAAAATCGAGTACCAATATCATGTACGTATTATTTTACTCCTTCTTTATGAGTTCTAGCAATAGCATAAAGTCTCCCTTATTTGGCAACATGGAGATTAACATTGTTTCTAGTTCATTCCCATCCTTTTCTTCAACATCCTTTCTCGAAAACTCCATTTCTTCTACCTCTATCGGGACACCTAATGCTTTAATAACTTTTGTTATGATAAAACCTCATCCACCAACCGTCGAGGTACCTCTTAAGGTTGAAAATAATAGAGTCAAGGACTAAGAAGTCAATCCCAATGAGGTAGCTTCCCCAACAAAGAATTCAGATCTCATGCTAGTTCCCAACTTAAGGTGTGGGTTAGTCATAGTGACAAATGAATACTCATAGTGGGTTTTGGACAAGAAGTTTGAGTATCCTTCTAAATTTACAGATGAATCATTGCTGTTCCATTTTCTCCATCTTACCAATATTGTGGAGTTCGGCACAGGAGATTTTTTTGGAAGTCCAAAGGCCATTAGTCGAAGATTGAGTGTGCCAGGAAGCTGACAACGATGAGGCTTGTTTTTTTTTTTACGTACGAATGTTTTTTCAAACCCTTAAATGTCCTACTACCCTTTGATCTTTCGACTGCCGAAGTGTTATTGGCTCTCAACATTACTCCTACACAACTTCATCCTAACAATTAGGCACTCCTATAGATATTTTGATTCATCTGTAACTCATTAGATATAGAGCCCACTATATCAATCTTTCTTCATTTTCATAAGACTAGGCCAGACACTTTATCAGGGTGGCTATCTTTAATTAGTCATGCCCATGAAGTGTTATTCGAGCCTTACACCACCTCTTTAAAAATTTTAAAGATGGATTCTTTAAAATTTTATCGATAATAAAAGGTGTCCATGTCTTTATGGATCCAATGCTTGGAGATAATGAAAACTTGACTCCTAAGTTTCTATCCTATTGGATCAAGGAACCATTAAAACCTGAGACTTGGGTTCTAGAAAGTATGAGCTCTCAAGAGCAAAATGATTTAAAAATGATTAAACTTCTTCCATTGCCTTTGAAAACAAAGGAGATCTTAAAGATCTCCGTTATGGCAAATGCTAAAGGAAAACTTGAGTGTTAGTATTAGGTGCTCGGATATGTATGTGCTCAATTATTAGAATGTATTTGATGTTCTTATGCACTAACTTAACTTTTCTTGTTTCAACATTCATGGCTCAAAAAATGAACTTTGACTAGAAGAGTGTTAGGGTCCCAATTGCTAATCAAGGTTCTCGAGAAGTTAGGGACCCTTCCAACTTGGAAACTCAGTTTAACAAGAACCAACAAGCCACTCCTTCCTAGAAACTCCCACAAATCCAAGGGGTTCAGTAGAAGTTGCCCTCTATTACTACCACTCCTCCTCCTCATCCCGGTTGTCGAGAGAAGCACAAGGATAAAAGATCGGAGGATTCTCAACCTCACAAAAAATTGAGAGCCAATGAAGGTACTTCTATTATCAACACTGACACATTTTTTGATAAGGATTTTGACCTTATGTCCATCATGGATGTATCTGCGCTCTCTGTCACCAACCATGAGGCCTTGAAAAAGACCAGTCTCAAGGTGGCATTAGCAACCTTTTGCGATCTACAAGCCCAATCCTAGGTGATCACTCAATACCTAAGGGTCGAATTATGTAAGACTGATGTCAATCCTAACGATATAGACAAGTTAAAGATTGAGTTGGAAGAAAATCGGGCTAATGTTCAATAGATCTTAAAGACTAATAAGAAGAGAAATAAAAAGTTTATAAAGTATTCACATACTTCATTAGTTGATAGATCTTTTGATTGATGATCAAAAGCAAAATCATAACTAAAAATATAAACTCAAAGTGGACAATATTTAACCAATGTTAAGTTATATGTGCAAATACCTCCAAATAATTATCATCTTTTGTTTGTCAAATCATTTTTAACCTTTCCATTGATAATCCAAAATAAAAAATAAAAAATAAAATTAAAATCAATTACATATTTTTCAATTTAATTTGGGAATCCCAACTTAAAATCTCTCAACAATATCAATTTTAACTAAAATCAATTTTACTTCGGTCTAAACCTAAAAAGTATTAACACATCTACATAATGTCGTGTCAATGATTCTCGTACGTTTTTGTCACAATACTTGTGAGACATGTCATGACATACGCTCAACTCATTTATATTATGTCATATTTATTTATTTTTTTGTTCAAATACCTTTGACACAACTTTAACACTTGTCTAACTTAAACTCAGACACGAACTAAGAAAGTGAATCAACTTTACTCTTAACTAAATACTTATCTAACACCTTTATTATTAAAAAAATAAAAAATAAATAATTTATTTATAAGTATTATAATGCTCATAACATTTTTTTTATTTATTATGAAGCTTATTTTTATAAGAATTACTTGATGTCTTTTAAAAAATATAATTGATTTTCTAAGAGTTATTATAAAAATTGTAAAATTTATACATACATATTGTGTCCTAACTTTTAGACATCAATTATGTCTGAGTGTCCGAGTGCATATCATGCTAGGTATCTGTGTAGGAATCGGATGCTTCGTAGGTCTAAACAGAGTTTTGTTGAAAACAAAAAGTGTCCAAGTAACTTCCTTATTTGGATAATGAAATGAGCTCATTGATGAAATTTACAGCAAGTGTACAATATATATCAATAGTATAACTTGTGTGAGAGTGTTGAGAAGCGCACGTTTCACAGCTCAGCACGAAGAATGGTAATTTGATCCAATCAACGCCAAGGTTCTTGCTTGGATGAATGAGCGACGGTAACAGGCTTGATGGATTTGTGATAGAATTTACTCTCGTTGAATGACTTCACCAGAAAAAGAAATGAAAGTGCTTCCTTCACCAAAGTTTAAGAAAGCTTGCATTGTCACGATGAGAAATGATAATTGCAGAGATGGAGAAGCAGGGAGGAATTATCTAGCATAAATACTATGAGACTTTTTTCATAATCGATCTGCGTATTGTGAAGAAAAATAAAGAACAATGGATTATAAATTGGAATTTTTTTGTTAGTAAACTTTTGAGATTTTGTATTTAATTAGACGCGACGGTAATAAAGCTTTGAGAAACTGTACTCGTCTAGTATCTCGGGTGTAACTATAGTCCCTATATATCTACAATTTAATCAAGGAATACGAGGAGGAATCGATCGAAGACAACTCATGTGAATAAAGTAAACAATATGGGTATATAACTGGCTAATTGTGAAACGTACAATATGATTGAGCAAGTCTTTCAAGGGGGAAATAGGGAGTACAAACCAAAAGTCACTCTCACTCTCATTAACTCTATGATGAGCACGTTCTTCAGAAAAAAATGGCATTTCCAATATGGAAGGAGTACAAGCCAGTTCGTGATGAATGATGATAGTCTCAATTCTCAAATATATAATTACCATACTTTTGAAATCAGGTATGTTGTCATCGACGCTACCACATACGCCAATAGTCCTGTAAATAAGACAAGTACGTTCCACATAAAAAACACGGTAGATAAATATATATTTTTTGGAGAGAGAGAGTCTTTATAGGAGTACCTGCTAATAGTTTTACTCTGGTACACACAGGCCTTGCTCCTGAGGATATGGCAACTGCCAAATTTAGAGAAAGAGTGAGTTGCAGAATATCAACATGACAACATGAACATGATAAAAGGAGGAAGCAAAAGATGGTAAAAGGAGGAACCTGAATCAGAATCACAATTGGAGGTGGAATTGAAGTCCCCGCACATACAGAGCTGTCTGATCCCATCAGAAGCAAAGCCACAGGAGCCACCCGTGGCCTCACAGGCTCCACAGAACTCATCATTCCCTTGCACGGAATAGCGGACGCGGATCCCATAGGACCAGTCCCCAGGCCCATGGACCCTGAGCGGAGCGACACTATAAGCGCTGGTATAGCCTTCGCACTGGAGCTTGGTGAGATTAATCCCCCTAATGGCCTCGTAGGGAAGAGCGCAGCACTCGGGCGGGCCGGAGCCGAAAAAGGAGGGGGAGCCCAGTGGCTTGTGGCCCATCATCTCCCAGGCGGGGCAGGAATAGTAGTCCTGGCAGCCCATGCCGGAGACGTTGCGGCAGGGGAGGTGCTTCCCGGGGAAGCCCTGGAAGAGGGGGGAGCGGGGGGAGCAGGCGATGAGCATGAAGACGTTGTCGGCGGCGGGGTTCATGTAGGGGGCGCGCCAGGGCTCGAGCGCGAAGCCGTTGCCTCGGGATCCGAGGACGAGGTTGTGGCACGTGGACATGTGGGGCTCGTGGAGCGTGAGGGCCTGGTAGGCGTAGTCTATCTCGAGGACCCTGTAGGAGCCTGAGCTTATGTGGAACATGAGGACGTCGTTTATGCAGTAGAGGAGGTCGCGGAAGCCAGGGTGCCCGCACCCGTATTGGACCGCGAATGGGTAGTCTATGGTTATGTTGCCGCAGTAGGACCGACACGTGTTCGGGTGGCACTGGCTTATAGGGATTAAGTATGCTGAGAGGATGAGATACAGCAGTGGAGGCATGGTTGCCAAGGAGCACTGATGACTGGTGAGTGAGAGTATGACTATGACTATGACTATGCATGCAATGATGCCTTGCTTGGTTCATGATGGGGCAGCTTTAGCTTTATGGACATGTGCTGTTCCTGGGAATCTAGGTGAATTGTGGGAGGGTTTTCCTGCGCTTTATTAAGAATTATTCTTCTTTATTATTTATTTTATTTTAACCCTCATTTTCTTAGTTTTTCAAATTCTGCTTTCCTTTGCTCTGCTTTTGGACCTTGCTTTAGAATCCAATATATTAAGCTTACTTATACAACAAACTCAACATGTCACCAAAATATATGATACCACTGCGTAGTATATGACATGGACAATGCATGTGACGTAAAGGAAAAATAGTGTGAATGAGTAAAACTTAATTACATTAAAAACATATAAAATAAAATATAAAAATACCACCTTTGGTTAAGTTTGCAATTACTCGTGATATTATTAAGTAAATAATTTCGTTAAATAAGATTTTATTATGTGAAATTATTGGAATAAATATAGCAATTAAAATAAGCCTGAAAATTATACAAGAGTCATGTATTACTAATAAATTGTAACAAAAAAACATATATTACTAATAAACCAAACAAGTACCTAATTAAATATTTTATAAAAAGATAAACTTAAGAAAGAAAACTCATAAAATTCTTCGAAACACTCCTAATATCTCAAATTTTGATTAAGTTTGAATTTTAAATAGCTAAATACTCTGATATATATTCTAACACTATTAATTATAAAATGAAATATTTTATACGGAAGGTTGAGATAGAGTGTAATTTTGACGGATAAAAATAATAGTTTTTATTAAAATTAAATTAAAAATAAAAATATTTGTTGATAAAAGAGAAAGAAAAAAAAAAGTATATAAGAAATAGTGCAACGCCGGGAAACTCGGTCTCAGTCTCAAAAGTACCCAAAAAAAAAACGATTCCACGGCGGTGCCACCGCCACTTGAACCGAATAAATTTGGTTGGAGATCAATTTCCCCTCTCCTTTCGGATTTTATTTCGTTGCCTAATTTCTCCGCAACCAAACAGCGTATACAACTTCCAATTCAATTCCGTTGATTTTGCCGCGCCTCCAATCATGGAAGTTCCCGACAACTCAGAATCCACTGTTCCAAGTGTACGAAACTCCTCTATGTTGCTTCTTCTCTTTATTTTTGTTTTTCGTTTTCATTTTAACTTCGACTTTAGTTGCATTATTCGATGTGTGGATAGCACTAGCCAAATAATTTGAATAATGAACCCTAGCATTTTCGGTTTATTTGACAGTGGTACAACTTATCAATTTGGTAGCCGAAATGACTTGGTTTATTTAGCACTCCATTGGAGGTTGATAAGAACTTAAAGAGCTTATTTTCTGAAGCATCTCAATAAAATGATGACCAAGCCTGTATACTTATTAGTTATTACAGTAAAAATCAATAAAATAGTAATAGATATGAGAATAACGTACCTAATAACATGCCATTTTTTGTCAATATAGCACAAGAAATATGTCTAATCTGGAATTGCAATGTTGAAGTTGTTCATCTTTTGCTTTTCCGTTTTCTAGGTGTTTTTTAGGACTCACCTCAGATGTGCTATTGTGCTGTGATGCATTATAAGTTTCTCACTAGAAATGTTTCAGGTGTCTGTTCTGATTAATGAATGTGGATTAGTGCCAATCAAATATACATACATATCAAGAGGTCGTGAGTCATGAATCTCATGACCAAATTTCAAAATATACTGCAAGTTAGTTCTGTAGGTTTGATGCAGAAGCTTCTCAATTCTCATACTGTTTGAAAATATAAGTTATGGAATGCTGGTTAACATAACTATATCTAGTCTACCTATTGAGTATTAAATTAATGAGGGTATTTCCAGAAATCTGTATGAATCATAATTCATAATGTATTGAATGTTTATCTTATCAACCTTGCATTGATCTAACGAGAAAACTTTCTGTTATCCTCATGGATTTCTGAAAATGTTGCTATCAAGTGTGTGCTGGACTTTACCATACTGATTTCATTTAACTTCATCGTTATTCTAATACTTTTCTTAAACAGAATTCTCCAAGGCTACCTGGAATGGTTAATGGGGGCACAGCAACTGTCATTGGAGTATTTGCTGGCATGTTATATGGTGGTAGCAAGGAGGCAGCTGCTTCTGTTGTAAGTTTATGAGTAAAAAATATGCTTCAAAACTCCATGCTTCATATTGCATTTTCAAAATGTATTATGTTCAACACAGAAAAGATAATTAAAAGTAAAGTCGGGAGTACAAGTAAAGATCATTCTCTTTAAAGGATTGAATTACCTATCCTGTAATTCGGTGAGTTTGGTTTGGTTTTGTTTCATACTGTTAGATATGATCATGATGAGTTAATTAAGTTCAGCTCTAAGGTTATTATTTCATAGTTATTTATTTAATTTGTGGTTCACAAGAATTAATATTTCTTGTGAAAGTACTTGGGTCTTGGGCAGAAATAGAATGTACAATGAAGCAGAAGACTAGTAACCTCCCTAAGTCCCTGTTACAAAATGAGTAAGACACTGTTAAAGTTCAATTGTACTCATACACAATATTTTATATTGTCTATCCTATATTGGAAAACAAATATATGTTACAAAGACTTTTTGCTTAATGGATAATGCATACTCTTCATTGAGAATTTTCTAGAATAGTAGAAATCTACTCATATTAACTTCTTCAAGCTGATTTTTAACTTATGCCTAAGTTAATTTTAGCTTATGGGATTTTATTTTATTTTTCTTTCTTATTTTCTTTTTGTATGAGTGCTTATAGAGAAATTTATCTAAACAAGGCCTATATATGTTTTTGTCTTTGCAATAGGGCATGTTTGCTTTCAGTCCCTCAAGAAAAAACTTTTGATCTCTCATTTATATAAATGTGTTATTTTTTATCCCTATTTCCATAAATAAGGGATGAAAAAGAGGTCATTTTTTGTGAAGGACAAGGATCACAAGTGACACATTTTCATTAATGAAACACAAAAAGGTGACTATTTTTGAAGGGCCTAAGCTGAACATTTCTATATTTACAGGGACTAGAAACATATCTATCCCTTTTAATTTTTTATGTTACTTGTATGTACTACACATTTTACTTGATTTCTCTTCACTGTATTGCTGTTTAGCTAATGAGAGTAATAACATGCAACTTTAAGTACTCTTCATTTCAAAACGTCTTTCTGAAGAAAACTGAACAAATACTAATTATCCTAACCCTCCATGGGAAGACGACTGATAGAAATCCCTACTCCCAAATGGAGTTTGTAAGTGATATCAAATTGTTGTAACTTTACATATGAATGCAACAAAACCTGTCTCACGCTCTCAAACATTGTTTTAGATGGGAAAACTGGAAAAGAACTCCCTCTGAAAACATGCTGCTGACATTTATATTTTCTTTGAAAACAAATTGCTGACATTTATTTTTCTTGCCAACCATGTTACTGCAAACATTTCTTGTCTATTAATTACAGCAATCTTAAGGAATTTCACATGTGTTGCCAGAGCAAGGATGCAGAAGTAATGTTGAAACTTGGGAGCACAGAAGACAAACGTGAGCAATATCGATTGATGAGAGATGCAATGGAGAAACGATTCATTCGAGTTACACGAGGCTCAATTATTGGAGGAGTACGCCTTGGCATGTTCACTGCTGCATTTTATGGCATACAAAATCTGCTTGCAGAGAAGAGAGGTGTTCATGATGTTTTTAATGTTGTTGGAGCTGGGTCAGCCACTGCTTCAGCTTTTGGTTTAATCAGTAAGAAATCATACCCACCTGGGCCAAGTGATGACAAAAGCTAACTGATCTAGTTTGTATTCCAATTTGGTGCTTTTTATCTTGTGAAAGACTTTTTTTGGTTGAAAAGTTTTGAGATAAGGTGAAAAATGGTTAAATGTCACAAAATTGTTGTGTTTACATATTGTTTCCCCTTTTATGTTAGTGCCTGGATCACTCCGTTGGCGAGCAAGAAATATGGCACTAGGGTCAGTGCTGGGAGCAGCATTTTGCTTTCCTCTTGGTAACATTGTCATTATTTCTTGAGTAGTCTTGTTAGTGAGTAAAAGCAGTGTTTGAATAAGTTACCTTGCTTATCTGCATTGTGGATGTGTGGCTATTTACTGAAATTTTGTTTTCGTTAATTATTTGGCAGGTTGGATCCATCTGAAGCTGGTAGAAATGGCTAATGAAGGGAATCCGGATGCACATCCACCTTCAGATCAGAGAGAAGTAAAGAGTGGTGTTAGTGCTGCTATTGATAGGCTTGAAGGAAATTTAAGTAAATGAAAAGCTATTGTTAGGTGTGATACCCCTCACGGCCAGCACGCTTTGTCATTTTTATTTTCTTTGAGAAGTGGGGTAATTTTGCGTTAAAGGAGTTGAATGGCGTTCATGCCCTTTTTATTGGACGAAGTGCTAATTCAATAATTTAGTTAAACGTGTTGCTCAAGATTTTTCATGTGAGATTATTTGGCCATGGGTGATTCAGCTATGATGCTTTCAGTCTAGATGGTTAGAAGTAGTATGCGTATTCTTAGAGTACTTATGTCTTTGGATTTCAATTTTTCTCAGCCAAACAAAAATATGTATTTTAGTGGTCGTAGTATGAGTCAATTTGTGCAGACAGTCTAAGGCCAGCATTCTGAGAAAGCTAAAATCAATGGAAGAGCAAATTGAGCCACTTATCCGGTTAACTGTTATATAGGTTACTGGAATGAAAGGAAATGCAGAAGTTGCAGAAATAATGTCAGACCTCGGGACCTAGTTAACCCAGTCCAGCTTAGTTCATGGATTTGGAGGACATTACAAAAGAAAAAAGAGAGGGTGAGTTAATTATGCTAGTGTAGTTCCTTTTAGTGAGGGAAGCCACTGGTGGCTGAGGCAGTTTTGCATTTAGTTAGAACTGGGTAAAGGTTATACCTTTTTTGGAGCTCTGCTCGGATGTTGTTACGAAATACATTGTTCTCATAAATAGCACTATTTTTTTTTTTCTTTTTCTGGACTGACACAGAAGCTGATTACTGTATGTTAATTAGAAGGCTGCCTAGGAGAAAGTTGCATGCTTCAAATCCATGCTGATCATGTTGCTTAGTAATACATTACTTATACATGTTTTGTCACCTTGGATTTGTATATTCAAAGAAAAAGTCTAACTGAAGACAATCAGTTAATGTACAAAGGAGGTCATGTTAAAGGACAATATAACCCGACTTATCATATGTTTTATTCCTTCGTGTACTTGTTACAAGACATAATTTAGTTTAGAATAACATGATAGTCTTTTTTACAAAGACACTTTATAATTTCTATAAAATATTAATTTTTATTTTTTTTAGTCTGTTTAAACTTAAAAAGAAATGTTTTTAAACAAATGCTTTTAAAAAAAATAATTTCTAAAAAAAAAGGTAGGAGTTACTTTCTAAAAAAAAGTAGAAAATTGTTTATTTAAAAAAAATATTAAAAAAAAAGCTTAGACAAATATATCAAAAAGTAAAAAAAGAATATATGATTATTTTATTTTAAAAAAACACTTTTATAAGAAAAAAAAATTTAAACAATCAGACTTTTTATCTCTATTAAAGATTGTGAGATTATATATTTTTTGTTGATTAATAAGAAAATTTTAAAAATATAGTCTATCACCTTTTTAACTCTTCAGCTATCATTTATCAAATTTTTTATATTAGTACATAAATTTTAATATAGAATAATATCTTCATTTTTCTCATAAAAATTTAATATACAAGTAAAAAAGAGTAAAATTAGTATATTACTATTTTGTATTATAATTATAAATCTAGTAAAATCAACTAACAACAATTATTTATTTATAATGGCATGTGATTCAGTTAAAATAGGAAGGGGTAGCTTTTTTCACTTAAAAGAACAATCGCCAAAACATAATTTAAAAATTTAAAAGGAAATTATTGTACAATTAATAATAAGAAAATTTATTTCTCATTACTTTGCATACGATATTACATTTATAATGAAAATTTTTTATTTTAAAATTGCTTATTTTAAAATATGTTATAAAATATATTTTAATTTTATAATATAACTGTACGTAATATTAAAATTAGTAGTGTTACAAAGTCGAACCGACTTGATTATCGTGTATATTTTAGGCCTCGAGTCGGTTTGAGTAATAAAAATGATCCGATCAAAAAACCTGGCAGAATCCGACTTATGAGTTATGATCACTACTTAAAAATAAAAGTTACTCCTTTTAATGAATTAAAGCTTGAAAATAGAATTTTAACATCAAACTAGAGGCACGTGTACTTCCAAGATTGGGCGAGAAAAAAACACCGAATCAGAACCTACGCCTTATCCTAGACAACAATATCTTGCATATCAAGAATTCAAGAAAACCCAGATTTACTATTTTCAAAGATTTCAAGTGGAACCATTGAAAGCAAAAAATTTCATAACTACTTTAAGAGAATAAAGATTTGCCAGCATCAAAAGCAAAATCTGCCAACTACTTTCTTAATGTCTCATTGGTTTGGACTTTGGAGATTTGAAGGTTCAACTATTTGTCATTCGCAAGGTGCAGACCAATACAACATATCAACTGTGAATAAAATTAAAGAATACAAAATATAGCACAAAATAAAATACCCCAGCTACAAAACTTGTAGCAAGTAGCAGAAAAGGCTAAAAAACAGTGAACCTCCTATGAATGCTTTGATATTATCCAAGAATTCAAGGAACAAAGAAAATAGCCAACTATAAAGAGCATTTACTCTCATCTGCCACTGCCACATGTAGAATTGCATCGCTCATATATCATGGTTGACTCCAAAAAATATCCTCTTATCTATTTTACTTGTGTTTTCCCACGGGCTCCCCCTTGAACTTATCGTTGTTAGTTGTGCAGCTTTCCGTAAACAATCACAAAATATTGCACTGTTATTTACCCTGCAAAGATTCAGGGTGAGAAGCTACTTTGTCATCTTTTTTAAAAAATCTTTAGACTACATCGGGAACTCATTCGACTATGGCAACCACCTCACCTCAATGTGTGGTCAACTAGTCATCATCATATTCATATTTTATATCTAAAGACTAAGATACAAGGATTTGTAGCCAGGTAGAGTCTATATCCAGGTACCACGGGTCTCACTCAAACAATTTTTATAAGCATGCTTAATTTGGAAGTAATTGAAACTGCAATATACAATCGGCTGAATCTACCTTTCTAAAGGATACTTTTGTACCTAAAATTTCAATATTCTGCAGGATTTGGTGGGAGCAATGACAGAAAGCAAAAAAAACACTCCACTCGTAAGAGATGTGTCTTCTACAAAATCTCTAATAAAAGCCAGCTAAGATTTAAAAAGAAAAGGTATATAGCTTCCTCCCGGGATAACAGGATAATGGCATTTCAGAATTCAGAATATAACAACCATTGCGATAGTTATGATTGTATTTTCTTTACACAATGTGGTTACCGACAATAAATTGACTTTTGTGGCACATTCAAAAATTGAAGTGAGATTAATGCAACATTTCTTAATACTTGGTACAAAAAGGATATTTAAAGAAATTACCAGTAATTTGGTTGTCTTGGCTACGAATTGCATCTTCTTGTGCCTTCTTATTTGTCCTTTTTACTGCCTCGGCTGTAACCATAATAGTCTTTCAATTAGTAATGAAAAGCATATGAAGATATTGTGTATATATTGTACAAAAGAAAATGCTAGGTAGTTTTCCTCCTTAAAAATCATTAGTACATGGCATGCAACTTTGCATAAAGATAGTGAATGAAGTACTGAACACCATAATCTCTATGTTTTTATATGCCAGTCACCAGGAAGATATTTATATTGCATATCTGATGATACCTTTAAATTTCCTTTTCTTATTAGCTCTCCTTCTTTTCCTTTCTGCCTTTGTAAGCTCTGCTTCTTCCTTAACATCACCCTTGCCATCAAATACCTCCTCAGGAGCCAACATAGCAGCATCTGAAACAGCCACAGGTGCAATCTACCCACGGAAGGCATAATACATTGTCAGTAACTAATAACTGGAAGCAGAAAAAAAAATGATAAAAATAATAGATCTTAACTTCTTCCATTGCCAGAGCAGGCACATTAGATTGAATAGACATGTCCTCTATAACCTGTTCGGTTCAATTCAAGTCAAATTAGACGACATAAATTTATAGTGTCAAGTACATTTATCAATAGATAATAAGAACGTTGATGTCATACAGGTTTTGGAGCAAAGTTAAAATGAGAAAGGGCATCCAGCTTCAGACAGAGTCTCTTAAACAGCATGCTTGCCTGATCACAAGGACAACACACAAGATTCAATGTATAATGATATATAAAGGATGGTTACACAGCCTGATACACTAAGCCAGTGTTGTACCATACATGAGGGAATGAAGCATATTGCAAATGAAAAGGCGATTAAATAGTAATATAGATATAAATAGGAAACAAGTAAAGCAATTGAGATTTGCACCTCATTCTTCTGTTCATCTTTGAATGACAATGGAGCAGAAGTGGGGTCTGTCTTCTGAACATATTCTTGCTGTCAACAATTCAAAATATATTTTGAAGTACATCACAAGTAAAGGAAAAAATGAACAACACCTTGAGGAATTAGTAATGAGGTTTCCAATGCTGCAGAAAATATAGTTAAGAAATACAGACCTCGTAAATATCTGCAAGACCCTGCTTGCTTTTATTGTCATCCTGTATTCATAATGAAAATGAAATTATTTGTACTAGTTACATACAGATATATTTTGACAAGAAGTTGAAACTTAAAAATCTATTTGTTACAGTAAAACAAGGCTTACCAACTCTTGAACTTCCCAAGGCGCTTTAGATGGTAATTTTGGAAGCCTTTGAACATCATTAAAATGCCCCTACATAATAAACACTAGTGTAAATTAGAAACAACATATTTGTAACTGTGTACTCTCATTGTATTGGTAGTAGTTCAATAAACACACCACTTTTTACAGAAATTGTACATGTTGCCATCTATATATCAGCTTCTACCTGTGCAAATAATATGATGCATTATAGAAGTTCAAACCATTATATTAAGTTACCTCAATAATCCTTTTCTTGATCATATCCTCAATTGAAGCTGTAACTTCCTCAGTGATTACAGGGGCAGGCCTTACATTGTGCTCAAAGTCTAGATCAACTTCCAATGCACTATTCTTGGGTCTTTTTGCAGCAGTTACCTGTTATAAAATCAACAATCAATAATCTAATACCAGATTAGCAAAAAGGGCCAACAAATGCAACCCACAAAAAAAAAATCAGGTAAAGAAAAGAGTAAGGGACTTCTGTATTACCTCACCCTGCATAGTCCAAGTTTTGGGCTCTATGTTAGCTTTCTCCATTTGCTCTATCTTGGATTGAATTTTTTCCAGTTCCTTTTCATGGGCAGATGCAGTCCCTTTCTTCTGCATATGTCATACATGTGTAAAACGTAGAATAAGAAAGTTGTTTTCAAAATAAATATTCTTTATATAGAGAGAGAGAGATAAATAGATATAAAAAGAGAGACCTGCTTCTCAAATTCCATGTCATCTTCGTCATCAGAATATTCAGATTCCTGAAGTACCTGAGCTTTTCTTTTTGAGCTCCTTTCCTTTTTACCTCCAAAGAAGTCTTCATACCTGACAGCAACAGATGAAAAAATGAACCCAGCATATAGATATAGAGAAAAACATCTGAATTAGTAAGAAAATACAAGGAGTAATATAATTTAAAAGTAGTACCCAACCAATTGCATAACATATGACCAGTGAGAACTTAATATTAAAGCAAATACACCAAAACAAACAAATCACAGAATAATAATGTAATAATTAATTAAATAGTAGTAAAATAAATAAATGCAAAGCTTAAAGAAAGATGAAAGATCACTTGGCCAAATGCAGTTTTCCGTACAAAACTACAGAGGGAATCCGAAACTAAAGGAATAATAATATAATAGTCTGCAGCAATTACTATTGACAAAATCAAAAAACTATTTCTAGAAACCTTAAGCATTTATAAATGGAATACAGTTAGATTACTTGTTTTCCTTAAGTTTCCTCAAGCTGCTAATGGTTTTACTTCGAGCCTCCAATGGTCTTCCTCTATTTAACTATTAGGCTATCATCCATCCAGACAATGCTTTCCATTGGGGTTTCTATTGATCTTCTTCTCATAATGACCAAATTAGACATGATTCTATCATCTTTTCCTCAATGGGTGTTACTCCTGCATTGTCTCTAATATATTCGTTTCTTATCTAGTTATGTATGTCTATTCTAACATTCTCATCTCAGCAACTGCAATTAAGGACAGAAATAGACCTAAACACTAGGTCCTATAGACATATGCTCCCTCAGTCACACATTAATTTTTCAATGATATACTTATATATAATATTTTATTTTTATTTATTTATATATATATATATATATAAAATATCCCACATTTATATTCATTTCCCCTAATGCTTGTTTAATATAATTCCGATAGAGGTCAAATTCTTTTGATGTTATAGTAACTTCAGACTTTATAATAATAACAATAAAGTATATTAATCCTGAATTGAAATTCAACTTTTCCCTCATAGTATTGACTTTTTAAATGTAAATATAAATAAAAAGATTTTACAAACATTTACTTATGTGTCAGCATTGTTCTTAGCCATCCTGCTCCTGCCATAACCTAAATTTCCTAGTCTGTCAATGTTTGCAATCTTAGCTTATGCTTGTTCACACTTCACCACTGGAAATTCAGTACAACAAAGCTTCTCTTATGGCTAAGTGGTAAATTTTTCCCTTGATAACACATTTCCATCACATATAGCACCCAAAGCATTCCTCCATTTCGTCCACCTAGCTTGGGTCCTATTCCTATTATTTGTATCTCACTCTATCACTTCATACTTAGTATGATAGTTTCAAGATACCTGAACTGTTCTACTAGTGGAATGGTAAGATCCCAATTTTCACCTCTAAGCCATTATTAGAGTGCATATATTATTAAACAACGTTTTTTTTTTGTAGATTAAAAAAAGGCAAGGGAGTGAAAGGAGAAAGAAAAATGGCATGTATCTGGTCATGGCATTGAGACAATGACATCAAAACAAACAAATATTGAGTTGTATGGATGTTGAGGCTTTGATGCCAAAAATCAAGTCCTAAAAGTCAGGCTGATTAAATCTCAGCCCTCAGCTACAAATGGGAAATCACTGTTTCTTGCCCAGCCAAGACGGGACTCACACTCCAGCAATAATTCGTTCTGATTGAAAAGATCAAAGAGGTAAACCAACACAATAGACATGGACAAACTAGCTTCTGGTAAGTGACAAATAGAAGAAAATGCCAGGCTGATGACAAGGGAAATGGTGAGAGTCTTCACTTAACATGGGAGTAATCAATGTGAGACTCGTACAGATAAATAGTGGAATTAGGAAAAAGTCAAACAAGCTTTCACATCTATATCATTTATTTTTTTAATAGTCAACTGAAGAGCAAGTGGCTTTGATTTTTCTACAAATTTAGGAGGTAAACCCCTCCTCTGCCCCTCCCATCCTTAAAAATATTATTAAAAGAAAAAGAAGAGAGATGAGACAATGCATGTCATGTGAGAAGTGTTAAACATTAAAATCATAATTCTATATGTACTAGCATATGCCGGGATCTCCTGGTTGTAATACTTTGATAATGCTATTCATAATTTCACACATCACCTGCAAAATGTTTGATCCAAGAACAAGACATACACATATGATATCTATAAATATTTGTGGAAAATAGATCATTAAATAGAAGTGAAGCAATTTAAAGCTTTTATTTGTACATATCATTGACCCATAAGTTAAATTACAGATACATATAAGCAATAACTTAAATTGCAAGCTTAAAAAGGATGAATATCCCTTTTTTTGTTCTCTAGTAGGAGACTGGGAGGACAAGAATAAATACCTTGCGTTTTCCATGCCATCTGCTTCTTCATCCTCGTCACCAAATCCAAAATCACCATCCTAGATAAATATAGTTAGAACGAGTCAGAAACCAATTAATCAACAAGCAACACCAAATGAACCGAACAACAACTTAACAAGCATCAAACTTAACCAATACAGATTTTGCAGACAGAATCAGAATGTGAAAACATTCAAAATGGCAACAAATAACAAGATTAAAAAAAAAAAAAAAAAAAAAAAAAAAACAAAAAACC